ACCAAAAGCTACAGTCCATTGGTATCAGTCAAAGTCATCGTTCACGTTTAAGTGTCAACTTGTCATAAGTTCAAGTGTTAAGTCGACAATTCGAGTGTCAGGTTTTCATTCTTGTAACTTCTTTCCCATCACAAATCGTTCGTATTATTATTCCGTGCCGAAATTTCCAATACTGAATTTTACTCATCACTGTTTACGTCAGCTGATAACATCACTTATTCTGCCCGCATTCCCAAATTTACGCCGTCTCCTGTGATTACCCTTCAATCTCAAACATCTTAAATCTTTTATTCCACGCTGAGATTTTCCATAAGTACCCAAATAACAGAAAGCATCATCTACATCATTTAACACTCATTCTGATTCATATTCCTATACATATACATCTACACCCGTACACATATATACAGTCAGATACATACGTTCCTCTGTGATTCTTTCATAATCACAAGTCTTCCGAATATTCATATATACATATTCAATTTATTGAGTTCCAGTGATCACCCGCACAATACGTATCATTAATTGCATAACCTATTCGCCTCACTTATTCTCACCTGTATTTCTATATCATATCAAGTTGCGAGTAACTCATTATATCCCAGAAGTAATCATTAACATTCACATAGTTACATCAAACACTAACCTGACTCACCAAGTTGCAGAAAATTATTGTTCATCAACATTGTTCATTCAACGTATTGTTCACTAATCAGTTAAAATACCCAAACTGATTAGCACTATTCCTCAATAACCTCACTTGCCACGCCTTCAATTCTTCTGTTGCTCATTATTCAATAATTCTATTACTCACATTATTCAGTAGTCACTCATTCACATTCATAATGACTTCAAACGTTATTCGAGGTACTATAAATAGAAATCGGACCAGACTCGAGAAATTACTTGCGGACTTGCCTCATTTCGGAGGCAAAGCAGCCAACATAGAAGAACTCGAGACCAGACGGTCGCAGCTGCGACTCGCCATAGAAACCATAAAGAAGAAAATTGAAACTATGGAAAGCAAGCATCAAGAATGGCTTCACTTAATAGACAGATTAAAAAACGAAGAAAAACAAGCTGAACTCCAGGTTTATGAACAATTCATGACGCAACCCGGTAATTTTTCAGAAAAAATTGAGGAAGCACAAGAAGCTATGACAATCATGGACGTTCAGTTAGAAGAAATACAGAATCTTCTAAATAACAAACCAAATGGAAGTACACCCATAACGCTTCAGACCACGCCAACATTTGACCTTCCGAAACTTGAACCGTTGAAATTCAAAGGTGATCCCCTAAAGTTCCAGGCATTCTGGGATCAATTCCACAATTTAATAGATCATCAACACATTCCCAATGCTATCAAGTTCACCCATCTCTTAAACTTATTAGAAGGAGATGCCAAATCTGCACTAGAAGCAATCCCAATCACCGATGACAATTACGAGGAAGCGGTGAACATCTTGAAAAACCGCTTTGGAAATATTCAAATAGTGCGGCGAACATTATACGGCCGGATTCAAAATCTACCAAAATGCTCAAACGCGTTGGACAGTATAAAACAATTTGCGGACACATTAGAGAAAACATGCCGCCAATTACGCAACATCAACGAGGACCCTGATCAGACAGCACTCATGTTCACCGTACAAGAGAAATTACCATACAACGTACTTGAAGAAGTAATCAAGAATAAACCCGCAGAGGACGTATGGACCATGGAAGCATTACAGAAGTCACTGAAGAAATATATTTCAGTCAAAGAAGAAGTTAATAACATTCTCGGTGAAACAAGAAGAACGGAACGACAAACGCCAAATAATTATTCGAATCCGAATCTCATTGGAAACAGACCGCCAGTCAACGAAAGATTCACAAGCGGAAATGACTCAGCCATGAAGAGATGCGAATTATGTGGAGATCGACATTTCGCAGATGAATGCATCACGTATCACGAACTGACAAACAGAACGCAACGAATAAGCGAGTTAGGGTTATGTTCGCGTTGTCTCAGAAGCGGACATACAAGTCAAGTTTGCTCTTATCGAA